ACTTTAAAAAAATTGATATAAAAAGTTATGAAAGATAATTTTTTTAATTTGCTAATAATTTAGATACTAACTATGATTTATTAGTTTTAAATCATTAAATTTAAATTTTATTAAACATTTAATTTATAATAATTTTGCACCTGACCCTTCGCGTCAATTGGCACACTGTCAATTTGAGATACATTCCCCTTCTTCCATAACGGGTTTTGAGCCCGTCCCTTGATAATTTATTCAAAATAAATTTTATAATAATTTTAAAATAAATAAATTTAATAAATACATATCATATTATAAAAAATATCTACTTAACTTTTTTTTTTAAAGGTAATATAAATAAAAACATAAATTTTTAATATCAAGATAAAACAAAATACATTTATCAGTCTTACTAGAGGGAGTAGAATTTAAAGGGATCAATCAGTAGAGCGGTGGAAAGTCACGGACCAAGTTATAATTAGACGAACAAAATGGGGGAAATTGCAATGGGCAAAGATATTTCTACCACACGCTCGGGGGAGTTGACAAAAGAGGAGACTGGGGAAGCATTAAGATAAGACGACTAAAGAGAGAGAAAAGCAGAGAAAAAGATCCTGAGTAAACTTAGCAAGATGAAGGCTTAGACATCAGAGAGGGTCGGAATACCAAGAGAACAAGAGATTTCTTTATACTCGATCGTCTTGAAGCAAGTCAAAGAATTTGAAATGCAGAATGTCCAGGTATTTTTTTTTTTTTCTGTTGAACTGCAGCTTCTTGTCTTAGGGTCTCGGGCCTGGAGGCCTGGGTTTTCCGGAAGATACACCCGGACTTGTACCTGTAGAATGGTTGCGTAACACTGACTATTTTGTAGCTTCTGTTGAGTTTATTCTTTCTTGGGAAAATTCTTCGTCAATGGATGGCTCAAACTTTCTATTTAGATCTAGTGAAAACTTAATTTTGTTTTTTTTCACTATATTGGCCAGGAACTAATTCCGAGTCCAGCCGGTCATACACCTTAGGAAAGTTCTTTAGTTCCTGTTTTTCATTTACAAAATCTAAACTTAAACTGAGCTCGTCTTGATCGGTCTTAATTTTATATTATATATATAAATGTTTTAATTAAATTTATTATAAATGTATTACAATTTTAAAAAAATCTATAATACCCTAAAAACAAATTTAAATTTAGTATAATATTTTTAGATAATTATTAAAATTAAGAAACAGAAAATATAACTCAAAAAAACCTGCGTATTAATATACGTAATTTGCTAAGAACCTAAAAATTAATCAATCATTAATCGCACTTAGATAATTAATATTAAAATTAAAAAACAGAAAGCATAACTCTACTTCCCCTGCCTCTCTTTCCCCTGTTCATTGTTCTCATTTTGTCTTTGAGATTCTTTATATAGTAGTACATCCACCAGCACCACTAACCAAAATACCATTCAATTCAACAGAAACAAACCCTTGAATAAGGAGATAACCTCTAATAATAAGGAACATAGTCTTATCTAATAATTTAAATTTTATAATATTAAAAAACACGCTCTAAGTCTCCTCTAGAAATTTCTAATATCTGTAAGAACTTTTTCTTAATCTCACAAGAATTTTCTCTCACCTCAATTTACAAGAAGTCTCACTCACTCAAGGTATATCTCTAGCCCCTAATAATTTTTCTATATTCATCTCAAGGTTGCTATGCCATATTTATAGTTTTCTTAGGTAGAGTCAAATTACTATTAGGAGTACAAATCCAAATCCTACTAGGAGATTCCATATACCGTCAAATGGTTTTCAATGGTCTTTGAAGATTCCTTGAATATTAGTAGATCAAGTCCCCTCCAATTAAAATTCCAAATTTAACTTAAATTCGTAATTTGGAAATCAAGAAAATTCTCATGTAAACACTTCCAGTCGTGCAGGGTTCAGGAACCTTGCCAATGCCTTCCTGAATCATTGCTAGTTTTCGCCTCTTTTTCGCACTCGAGGTTCCAGAACCTTGGGCAGGGTTCTAGGAGCCTCTTTGCTTCTGGTTTTTCCTTGGTTTCCTCAAGTAATTCAAGGAACTTTCACGACACATGAAAGATTGTTTACGAGCTAAATCTGAGCAGTTTCAGAAGGCTATCCAGTTAAACAACATAAGAAAACATTGCATCACTTAAATACCCAACAAAAATCAACAAATTAAAGATAGTCTCGAGTTCCACTCAATCTAAACTGAACAGTGCAGCTGCTGATGGCACCGTTCAACTTCCTTTCTTCGAGTTTTCTTAATAGAGTTTAACAAGTGAGTGACCTCTCTTTATAACTTTCTGGCTAAACTGATGCATGTTATCTTGACAGCCTCGGAAACAAGTTTAGATCACTCTAGGTTTCATACTTCAAATAGCAATAACAAGAATTTGCACGAAAACGAACCTTCTTAGCTATACAGTTTGGGTGTTGTTCAAATCTAATCATTTAGGTTTTACATATATCAAACTTCAAACACAGAAACAGATTCCACTGGCATGCATCAAACATGGCTTTGCTATCCTGCATAAGCTTGGAATGTCCACCAGCAATTTAATTACATAGCTTAAGCTTTAGAGCATTTCGAATTAGTCATTCTTAACATTTCATGTACAAGCTTAGCTCATCAATTTCATTACTTCTTAATCTTTCTTTATGTGCATGCATGTAGGTAAGTATGTAATAAACCAAATTCTACATTCCAGTTTATCATTCATTCCTTACTCTATTTTAGCATGTCACAAACTAGGGTGTGGTTATGACCACCTATTCATTTGTTAAGACCATTCAAACTATGTTAAAAAAATACTAATTTTATTTGATTTAACGGTTAATAACAATTAATAATTAATAAAACAATTGATATTTTATTACTTAATAAATTAAAATAAGTTTATAAACTAATATTGACAGACGTTATTACCATCCGTTTAAAAACAATTGTGTTAACAAAACTAACAGGAGTTAAAAGAAAAATAAATAATTGTAATTTAGTCCGTACATGAGTTAAGTTTGAAATAAAAATAATTCCCAACCTTTAATTATTTTAACAAAAATAAAATTTATATAAAAGAAAATCCTAATTGACCAAATAACCAACAAAAATGAACTTGCAGCCAACATAGCTTCAAAATAATAAGTCTATATAAAATATTTTCGAATCTACCCTTCATTGTTTTTAGGTTAAGACAATACCAATACAAACCCGGAGGAACTATAATATAGAAAAAAGGATCATCTCGATCTCAGAATTTTAGGAGAATTAGATTAAAAAAAAAAGGAGAAGAAGAAAAGGAAGAAAGGTTTAAACTTTGAAAAGGATTCACAATATTTGTAAAAATCAACTCATATTAGTTAGATTACAAGATTTTAAAATAAAATGAACGAAGCCCAGATAGCAACAGTGCGCACCCAATTATTCAATTCAACAATCAAAGTATCAATCAACAAAAAACATGAATTCAATTAATTTTAACTTTCGCAAAAACCAAATTTAGAAATTACTTTAAATTAAAGTCAATTAACTAAATTCTTGCTTGCAGCCAATTGAATTTAAGGTCTTATTATATTTTTTTTATCAGCAAATAAAACTTTTATGCAGAGAACAAGCTGTACTCCAAACACATTTCAATCATAACGTTGTTTAAACTTTAACGTTCTATTATGGTCAAGTGTCCATGGTCTCTTGTTTATTAAAAGGTTAGATTTTAATTTTGGTTCCTCAACTTTAAAATTTTGCATAATTTTCATTTCTCAACTTTTTATAACCTTTTTGATCCTTTAACTATGAAAAATGCACTTTTTTAATTCTTTTGGTAGTTAATTTGTTAAGTTTATCTGAATCGGCACATTATTAATCCCTCAACTTTTAATGTATGCTCATTTTTTATCCTTTAACTTAAAGTTAAAGGATAAAGAATATGTATATTTAGACAAACTTAATGGCCTAACTAATGGAAGAACTAAAAAAGTGCCTAAAAGAGTTGAAAGATGAAAGTTGTGTAAAATCTTATAATTGAGGGACCAAAATTGACATTTAACCTTATTAAAAAGACATGGAGGGGGAAAGAAAAATGAAAATTTTATATCAAAAAGAAATGCTGATTTCTTAGTAGTAAGGAGAATCACTAGCAGATGTTTTTATGAGTGTGGGCTCATAACCATATTATGGAATTCGTGAATAGTTTTGGTTGGGATTGTAATCATTCTATGGTCAGCAATTTTAACTTTTATAAACTAGTTAAAAGTTTAGGGGTTAACTTTATTTAAAATTTAACTAATTTAATGACCAAATTGCAATTCTTCATTTTGTTTTAGCTGCCATGTCAGATTCACAGTATACTTTAACTACAACGTCAGTGGAAGTTAACGGATCTAACGTTAGCTATCAAATGAAAGGCTGATTTGCATAAATTGTGCTGCTTAAGGGCTACACTCCTGCTTTTTTGTTTGGGGGCTGATGTGCTAGAATAGAGTAAGTTTAGGGGCTTAACAATGGGTTCTGCCAATTTACCAATTGCTTCCAAATTGTAGAATGTAACTTAACAAACACCGTCACCGACCTTGGATCAAAGCCACCACTGGACTTGGTAGAACATCTAGTTTCAAGTCCTATTGCCCTCCTGGTTCGAAGAGCTTCCTATGGCTGTCATTTCCTGTCTCTCGTCTAATGTTTATTAAGATTAAAATGAGTCTTTGAATTTCTATTCAAATATATGCATACCTTGCTATAGACAAAATTTAGTGGACAATAACTGAAATCCACCAAGTCTGCTAAAAGCTGAGACATGTACTGTTACATGCAGCCAGTAAAATGACTTCTTGTTATATGCAGCCAACCTAATAACAAAGCTGATTAGATCACTAAATTTTTTTTTAAAAATTTTTTAACATTACAAAGGTTTAAACATCTAACTTAATCTTAAATCAAAGTTTTTAAATTATTGTATACCAACTTGACTGAACTCTTGAATCACTAAATAAATCTAACCAAGCTGACTAACTATATTCTAATTTCTGAACTCAAAGTTCAGAAATTCTAATGACATGACAATTAAGGACATAAGTTAGGACAAATTAACACATAAGGACAGAATGTTCAAACTTATGTACTAAACAAGGTCAGGGTTTTCCCTCTTAGGAGATTTGGTCCCCAAATCTCAAGCTTACCAATGAATGAGCCCTCTAATCTGTTTTCTAATCCCCAAATAGCCTTTTGTTCTACATAGGTGCTTTGATTTGACCATCTTGTGCATCCTCAACTTCTATTGAAGTTGTTTGCTGAACAAAATCAATTTCTAATCATCTGCCTCTCTAGCTACTTCCATTCTAAGATTAGAATTTAGAAAGCTGCAGCAATCCTACTAACTCTAACTTGCTGGCGTATCAAACTCTTAAAACACTTTCTGTTATGTCCTTTTAATATTCTGTTACATTCAAGTGCCCCTTGAATAAACAACATGCTTAACCTTGTAGCATTTCATTCTTCATTTCAGCATTAAAGAAATACAAATTCTGTTTTTATTGTAATAAATCCTTCTCTTGCTTTTCTGTTTTCCTATGGCAAATCAAATTGAACAATTAAACTAACAACAATTACATTAGACTGACAATAAGAAAACCTTACTTTCATATTTCTAACCTCACTGCAAACTCAGCCTATTAAGCTTCAATTTTCTCTATTGATCTTCAATATTAGAGGCAGATTTTTGTAAAGGTTCAGATCACACTAATCCGTAATTCCAAACTTCACTCTATATCTAAAGTGTCTTATTCTCAAGCACCCATCACTCTGAGAAGTCAAATTATCTTATGAATTTTTAGCCATCTGTTCTTCATTGTCATGCATCTATACGTTGTGTCTAAAATCAGGCGGCAATCCGCAAAGTAATCTTTCACTCATTACTAGTACCATACCCAAAAAATAAAAGAACATCATAGTACTCAATCTTGATTTGTCGTAGGCTTTATGCAAAATTTCCAAGCCATACCTAACTTCTTTCTCTAGGAGAACACTCTTTCAACTTTCAAGCATGTACTCTTATCAACAAATATTTGCAACTCCTGGCTTCTGAACATAATTCATTCATGACATTGGGATGGATTCATTTATTTCAACATTTTCATTCTAGATCATCCTGTGGACAATTAATGTAAGTCTCTAAGTAAAAACTGTCTTGCAACTTCTCAGACTTTCATTGAAGAGATTTCATGCCATGTATAGCCAAAAGCAAACTCGAATGTCAGTTCTCTCAAAATTCTGAAGAAAGAAACTGCTTTCTAATTTAAATTTTCTTCTAAGTTTCATCTACCATATATACTCCATTGTGACAGTGCTCGCTTTATTCAGATAAGGTGAAACAATCCATTCTCAACATTCAGTTCTATAGCTATTTCTACCAAAGTTTCAATATGAAAATAGTGTATGACAAGCAAAACAGAATCCTTTACAATTACCTCAGTTCGAACATTTTCAAGTTGTGAAGCACTCAGTTGTTGAGTCAAAAAAGAGAAAACTTAATGCAACGATAATCAGAAGCTATAGTCATGAATTATGCAATGAAAACAATCTGTACCTGCTTGAGAAAATTTCTAACACTGCAAAATCTCTTGTTTCAGTTGTAGATGAAGTAAATCATTATTCAAATTTTCAAGCTACTAATCTTTCATAATGCTAACAAATGACAAACTCTGAATCTGGTGAACGGTGTGATCCCCTCATTTTATAATATACTTGACGTTTTCTTCCTTTTTCTTTTCATCCTGAATTGCGAATGTTTTCAGTAAGGGTGTGCTGCTTTCTCTCAAGAGTTTATCAATTTCAGCTTTCTTCTCTCTAGGTACAGCATTGTTGAATAGGATTAGGGAAATCATGATGCGTTCATAATTAAAATGGAAGAACTCTTTATAAAATTATTTAAATATTGTTAATAAATTAATATATAAAAAAAATTATTAAAAGTATTTAAATAATTTTACAAGGAATCTATGGCAAGATATTTTAGTTTTTTTAATAAGGGTTTATTAAAACTATGTAGTATTGGGATAATTTTCCTTTTAAATTTTAGAGGTAAGGCAGATAGCACTATTCCCATATATATAGTTAGATTCACTTGTACAATTTTTAAATATATCATTTATATAAAATTTTAACTATTCGTAGTTGAGAAATAAATGATTAAGATTTTATATAAGTAATATGTGTAACTCAATCTTAACTATATATAAAATTGTAATCCAATAAAATTCTCTATAAAATTCCTAAATAAATATCTAATAGATTTTAAAATATCCTCAATTAATACTTACTAAGGTTTTAAGAAAATCTTAAATAAATACCCAATAATTTTTTTAATAAATATTCATTAAATAATAGTTCAAATCTAACATAAAGAGTGTGAGACCCACAAATTAGGAAATTAATATAGAATAAAAAATTAATTCATTCTATAATTATAGAATAGGGGTGAAGCTAAGACCCATAGATTAATAAGTGTAGATGATTATGCAATGTAATTGTAGAATAGCAAATTAATTATTCCCGCATACAAAGTGTTTATAGTTTGATGTTTAACAAATTAATATCTCCATAGGTACCAAAAAAAACTTAAAATAGTTCTTATTAAGTACCAAAAAAACCTAAAATATTTCTTATTAAGTACCTTAAGGGAAAATTAAGAAGTCTAATTATATCAAACGTATAGTGGTGAAAGCCAATCGTATCGTCCTTCTACTTTCATTTTTTTATTTTTTGTTCATGTCCATCCTTTCACTAACAAATTGTTCATGATCGTCCCTCTATTTCTCAAACGCTAGTCAATGTCGTCTCTCGACTCCCCTTCTTTGGTTCAATGACTTCCTTGCTTGCATGCCGTTGCTTGAGCCGTTTATTTTGACCGTTACATGCCTAAGAGTCAACCGTTAACTTGATTCTTCAGTCTACTTTTACCCATTCTGATTTGGTGGCGACCACATGCACCTTTTTGTTTGCTTTTCAATGAATAAAATCGATATTTTCCCCTAAACTCAACCCTTTTGTTTCCTCATGAGCATATTTACCATGAAACAATTTAATGTTGACATAAAAATTTAAATTAATATACATTAGTTTTGAAGAATTTCCCTTCTCCATGCCCGAATTTCTCTCTTTTCTACAAATGCGAGTTAATTTTCTCTAATTTTCCAATTTAATTTTATATATTAATACATATGGTACTAAATGAAATCAAGGTTCACCAATTCATAAATAGATTTTTTTTGTAAATTTTATTTTGTCTGCAGAGTCTTGTCTAGCCTTCCACACGAAACAGGATATGAAGGATTTTAGTATCTTTTAGACGCGCACACGACATGTCTGAGTTAATGCTGAAGTGGGGGTTGGGATGCTTTTTGTACTGTAAAATTGTGGGATTAGGGTGCTGTTCGCTGAGGGGGTCTTTGATATGGTAGAAATATGTTTTTTAAATGTAAGGATTCTTGTGATTGAGGATGTAAAGGGTTAAGGTACTTCTTATACCTCCTTAATAAAACCCACCTTTGTTGCCCATAAAAAAAAAAAAAAAAAAGTTGAGTAGATTTTTCAACATGTCCTTGGATACAGAGTTTGACATTGTTGGGAGCTCAAATTTGAGTTTTAGCTTTGATGTTTTAGTGTTGATGTTCTCTTTTCTTTCTTTTTTTTTTTACTATTTCTGGAATATATGGAAGTTAAAAATATTCCAATTCGGTAATGGATGAAACAATTTAATGTTGTAAAAAATTAAAAGAAAAAACACCTTAAAACTATACCATTTTATTGAAGTATCTTGACAAAAGATTAAAATAAACTCATTTGTCTTAAAAATAGGTTATTTTAGTTTTTTTTTAATATGAATTTACTGAAATGACATAGTTTAAAATATTTTTACTCTTAATTTTTTAGAGGTCTAGGTGATAAAAGACTTCTCTTTTATATGTATTAGTCCACCCTTCTTATTCCAATGGTTTTTTTCTTTATTACTTTCAGCCTTTTCATTGCTCTTAGCAATTCTTTATTTCTCTTTTCTTTTGTTTATTGGGTTACAATAGACTCTAATTCTCAAATCATCAATAAGTTGTTTAGAGAATGATCTTATCCTAAGATTGTATTATGTCTTCATTGTAGATGAGAGCAGATGCTCAAGGGAATGTTGAGCTAGCAAGCCTTCTTGGTGCAGTCGGTATGGATATCAATGTAAGTCTATTTTATGCTTCCTTTTCCTTAATTCAATATTTTAATAAAGAACTAAGAATGAAAAGTATTTAATAAAGAAGGAAAATTATTGGTACACCATTCCTGCACTGTTTAATTTAACACACTTATCAACGTCCACTGGTTCAGTTATTAAAATTTGTATTTGAAAGTTTTCTAACTTTAAATTCAAATTTGAAAATAGTAAATTCTTAATGAATGTGGTGGGGTGTATTGAATTAAAGAGTGTACCAATCATTATTTAATAAATGTGGAGTTTGGTGGAACATAAAAAAAATTATAAAATATGAATGGTAATATCTTTATTAATATTCTAAATATTAAGGGTCTGTTTAATATGATTTTGGTTATGAGTTTTTATTTTTATATATTTAGTAATTATTATATTTAAAAATCAAAATTTATTATAAAAATTTAAATTTACTAACGAATCCTAAGTTATACTTAGTTTTTATGCAATAAAATAATAACTAAAAAAAATTGTTCTCGTGCTTTAAATTTGTAGATGTCCTTTCTATAACATCCCAAAACCATGTAGTTTTTAGACACCATACTAGACTCTCAGTGTAATCCTTGTTGAAATAGATTACTATTCAAAAGTTGTCAAGTCTTTAACCACTTTAGCACCTATCCCATGTTGGGATGAAAGTGAGTGTAATTGGTATGTAAATGTGGAGACCAACTACTACTAGTAACTTGAGTTAGAATATTTGAGGGCCTGCACACCTTAACTTAAAAGAGTTGTTAGATCATTGGCAAATTTCAACTCAGGTTATTTTAGATGGTATCTAGGGGTGAGCATTGGGTATAAGTATACCATTACTTATAGGTACCTTTCCCTTTTGGCTTAGTACCATACTCGATCAGTAAAAAAGTTGAATAAGTAATGGGAATGAAAACAATATACCCATAAATATTAAGTCAAGTAACAATTATATAGGTTTAAAACTATTTGCTTGACCTATTTAACCAACTTGTTAACTGACCTATTACATTTATTTGTATAATTAAAATTTTATATGTATTTATTATACCTTATATATATATATATAATATCAATAACTTTTAAAAATAAAAATAATAAAATACAAAATAAAAATAAAAGTTAAGTAAGGGTTATAAGCAAAATAAATCACACATGCGGCAATAGCAACTCGTATAAGTAACAAATCTTAAGTCAAACACATAACAAACACAGCAATAATAACTCATATAAGGCCTCCTCTTTTCCTAAGTCAAGTACACAAGTATATACTCGTAAGTTATCCAGTACTTGTTGGGTTAAGTACGAAGTATATGTTTGAGTATTTGGATAAATACCAAATCTATAAAGCTGTACCTGAAAATTTTCAAGTCAAGTACCAAATATAGTTCATACTTGACATTTACTCAAAAATTTTCGAAGTCAATGGTATTAGAGTGATCACCTCTCACAGGTGTGGGTTCATGCTGACAATCATTGCTGGTAGTAGTGTGGATCTCTTATTGCATGAAGTGGATCCTATACTTGTGGTCCAATGGGCCTTGCGCTAATTGTGGTTGTCCTTGATGTGAGAGATTGTAACACCCCTAAACCCCACATTAGGATGAAAAGTGTCAATGTGATTGGTACGTGTAAAAACTAATTACTACTAACAACTTGAGTTTTAGTTTTTGAGAGCTTGTGGATCTTGACCCAAAGAGTTATTAGGTTAGTTGTGGGTATTAGCCCAAAAAACTAGAAACCAACACACTAGCTCACAGAGAACACATTCAACATGGATTTTATATGCTTGCAATCCACAAGGCTGGCTTGATTTAGATCCAAAAGATACAATTCTCTTTTACATGTAAAATTAACCAACTTTTACACACAAAAGAACTTTTAGGTGTCTTGCTTGTTTACAACAAACAGTGAGACATAACAAGGTTTTGGTCAGAGAATAAGTTTGTATTACTAACTAGACTACCAAGCTATTCTTTGGCTGGTTGTAGTTCTCCTGAACTACTATAAACTACACTAACTTATAACAACTGGAAAAAAATAATATTTTCATGAAATATAAGGCTCAACAAGTAACAAATAGCTTACCAAACTTTAAGTATTCAAAATAAACCAAGCCAGAAGTTATTCCCAATATTGTTTAGTATAGTTCTCTTCACATTCAATGATAAATTGCCCAAGAAACCTGTCGTATCTCCCAAGTATTAGGATAGATTCTGATTCATCAATAGCAACACATTTAAACTTTGCAAGGTAACTTTATGCATGTCTAAATGTTTCAAAAGAATGCAATTACTTCCATGGATTTCCTTGGGTGTACATCCTACCCAACAAATGGCTGAGCCATAACTTTCTTATTGTGCAAAGGATCTAATATCATTTCTTCATACTCCCAGTCCAACTGGATTTTACCTAGTTCAATTGCTTAGGTATTTACCATAATTTCTTATACACAAGAAAACTTGATACTTCTAGTTCACGTCACATGAACACCATTTTGACACTCGCACAATTACCAATTTGCATTGTTATGCGAAAACTATAGCTAATGCATCTTTATCATGCATTCTGGAGACAATGAATTCACTAGAAAGATCCCATAAGAACACAGAAAATGTAGAAGTTACCAAGACCATTCCAAAGGTAAATTAACAATAAAAGTCCACCCTTTTTTACATGTTTCTAAATTCTTAGGCAAAGGTAAAGTCCAAAAGTCTATACTTAAACCCCTTCTTAAATTTTTAGAGAATTTAGTTTAGTTTGAATTTGTTAAGCTTAAAAGTTACTTACCTCAATTTGAATGAGGTTTGACCCAAAACTCCTCCAAAAACCTCTCAATTTTGCTACTAGCTTTGTTGCAAAGCCACAACTCTATTTTTGTTTTGCTCGTCTGATGCTAGACTAGAAGGGAAATGGAATTGCTTTGGTCATTCTCATCTCAAAGCATAATAATTTAGAGATACGTTAATGGAATTCTAATGCATTCCACTTCAAAACTACACTGCCCTTCTCTCACTTGGCGATCACACTTGTCAAGTGTATGCTTACCTGTCATTACCCTAATCAAGCCAAGCCATTTATTCAGTGAACTTTAGTAAGAATTTAGTCCCTGGACTTCTCTTAACAATAAAAGACATTAACTATTAAGTTTTTAACATTTAACAACAAACTTCTAATATTTTTACATTTAAAGACAGAGATGTTTCACTTTTTATGAAAATTTGTCATTATTTTTCGAAATTAAGAAGATTAAATTTGCAGCTTAAATCTTCATTCATATCTATCATTCAAACGTTTTTTTTATAAATTATTACATTTAAAATTATTAATTATCAAAAAGAATAATTTAATATATTTTTATTTGATTATTAATATAAATTTTTATTAATAGTACTCTCTCTATCCCAAAATAACAATTGCTTTTTGACTTTATCTTTTCAAATTAAGGATACGAAGACAAATTATGTGTTTATGTATATTACCTTTTAAAAAGAAATAAAAGACTTTTTGTGATAGGATGAAAATGATCAATTAAAATAAATAGATAGTTATAGGTTTTTTTTGCCATTGGATAATGATAAGGTTAAAAGAGAAAAAAAATTTATTCACTTTAAAAAAATTAAAAAAACCATAATTAATTTAGTTTGGATAAATTTAAAATAAAAAAACCGAATATATTTTAAGATAGAGGGGCACACACCTAACTTGTGAAAAGTGCAGCTTGGGGTATGGTGTGTGTGTATACTTCTACTTTCTGAAAACTGCTCGACAAATTGGAGAAAAGCTTATACTGTAGCAAACTTTTGAAGCGCACTTTTCACAAACTTTATACCGTAGCAAGCGAAACTAGAAAGCTTTTAACTACTATCACAGTTGTAGATCTTTCCTAGTTTTCTGTAGCCCCCAACCTGCTGGAGTTCCCTAAAATACCTTCTGCAGAATTACATGTCTAAAAATCTGACTTGTAGCATTGCAGACTCAAATTTATTAGTTTAACAATTTCTGTTTCCTCCAAAGTTTGCAATACAATAATCATATGTTTTCTATGTCTATCTTCATTAGAGAAACAGACTAGTACATCATCAATATACAAAATGACAAATCTGTTCAGATAAGGTTGAAAGTCTGTTCATTAAGTCCATAATTCTTGCTGGGTTTAAGTAAAACATGTAACCAGGAATTCATACCATACTTGATTCTAAATGTTCTCATACTGTCTTCTGATTTGGTCTTTAGTTGATAGTAACCAGATGCTAAACTAATCATTTTTCATTTTAAGTTCAACCCTTTTTTTTTTTTTATGGATAGATTCAGTTCAACTAGTTCCATTACTGCCATTCTCTTAAGCTGCTAAATACTAAACCTATTATGAACTCGGCTCCTTGCTGGTGATAAACCAAACAGTTGCTTATGAAAACATCTGCAATCTTCTTAACTACTGTGATTCTTTACACAGACAGGCTTATTTTTAATCACAAACAGTGGCATAGCTTGTAATATTTTTCATGGGGGCAAAACAAAACCTTGACTTAAAAATGGTGTGTCTATGTGTAAATTAAAAAGTCCATAAAAGAGAAAAAAAAATTATAAACAAAGTTTATCAATCTTTAACCATAAATTTATAGTGATTGATGAAGTAATATAAATGCCATCAATTAATGGACAAAAGGAACATATATAATGAGTGAAAGAACACTAATAAAAAGAAAAGCAAAAAATTAGTAGTGAACGCATACATTTGTAGAAGGATGATGTTGAATCATTTTTCATTCAAGAAGACTGATACAAATATCCTCTAATTCAACACACTATACAATAAATTCATTAAGAAATCATTTTTTTCAATTTTAAATTAAAGGTGGGAAACTTAAAATTATAGATTTTAATAGCTAAATTGGTAGATGTTGACAGGTGTATTGAAACTAAGAGTAGACCAGTTATTTTCCTTTCGGTCAATTAATCCTTATTTTTGTTGGTGGCCAAAAAAATAAATAAATCTTTATTTTTATCATCTTCTTATTATCTATATTTTCCACATCTTTCTCATTATCAGAACTTAAAAGTAATCTTCAAAAATAAAAATAATGAAAATGATAATAACACTATTTAGGATAAAAGTTAAAATTTAAGGGATCAAACTACCCTCAGGGCCCCCTTAGCTTTGCCAATGTTCACAAATACATGTTCAAAACAACCATCATAATCCTGGTGCAATAACGTAGAAGCTTGCAAACAAAAGATTGACCATATTCTGGAATACAAATCCCGATCATTTTGTTCTTGGAGTGTTCTTTTGTTTCAAAATTGTGGCGTAAATGCCAAAATTGATGGGGCTTGAGTTGTGTGATTCATAATGAATGTAGAGAGGCTTTTGTACGGCATATTTTCATCTCAAAAAAAAAGGGTTAGGCGGGTTTGGGAGGCTGTATGGATTGGCCTCGTATGAACTGCATGGTTAGTAAGGACTGAAGAAACTTTCAAGCATGTCGAATCGACTGCTGAAAAGCTTTTTGATCTCATCCAGATTCGGACTTTTTTCTGGTTTAGAGGAAGGGTGGCTGGGTGTATGTTTTCCAGTCTATATGGATTGGATGCAAAATCCTGTGTTGTGTTTGAAGTCAATTCAAGGAGGTGCACAGGGAAAGTGAAGAGTTATAGTGCAGGGGTTGGGCTTTTGGCATACGGTGGGTGTTTTTTGTATTGATGTATCAGGATTGGTTTTAAGGATTTTTGTGTCACCATACCCCATCATGTAGGGATGTTTACCCTTGTACTCTGTTTTTAATAAATTCTATTTTTTCCGTTCAAAAAAAGAAAAAAAAAGTCTAGAATGCAAATCATCGCCCCTAAACTTTGATCAACAAACTGGTTAGCCATGTGGAATACAACAATCTTCTTGTAGCAGACAATCATTGCAAAATGAGCTCAATGTAAGTTCTTCTATATTCAATAGAGCCAGATAAGCTAATAATTCTCTAATATCAATTCTGCCAAATATTTTATGTAAATAATATGAAGTTAAGACTTTCTTTATATAGTGTACTCACTACCAGCATATAATAAAAAATTTCAACCTTGGCATACAAATAGAAGGCTTATCTAAGTGATACAAATGATGCATTGTACCATTTTCAATCAATGCATAAACATTTCCAAATGGAGTGGGTAACTTACCTCTTACTGTAGCTGAATTCCCTTCTGTGTTCTGCTTGTGGTTGCAACATTTTGCCTTGCATTTTTCTGATTTCTTTTCAGTTCAATTTTTGATTTGAAGTTCTTTCTTTCCCATCTTTCTTTCCCATCTGACACAAGCCTCACTTGTCCTGAACATATGTTCTGGTTTCCTAATGATTGTCTGACTACTTGCAGCTTTTCTCAATGGGTCGGGTTTAAGGGTCGGGTACAACTCTTTTCAGGTCAATGAGTGATCTAGTTTTGATACATACAAGTTCGTCATACCGTATCAAGCCCCAACGCTTCACTAGATCCATCTATAGCCTGCCTAGCTTAAGCCTTTTAACTTCTTTTCCAACTACCTGAAATGAGTGGATAGTAAGGTGTGAGCTATATAGCTCATAGTTGAGTGTTAAGAACTCACCATAACCGAAAGTACTTGGTCAATACTTAACAAACAGATTTTCATAAACAATTTAGATAGGTTTAGTATATCCATAACAACTCTGACAAAAGCATATTCTTGAGCAAATTTGTCATGGCTCTGGTCTAGCACGTTACTTTGTCAAGATAGCATGATATTTAACTATAAATGCAGAACAAATTGAATCAGAACTAAACCATGGACAAATCATTTCAAAAATATATTTCTTTCTCAAGCTTTAACAATACATGCTCAAAGAGATACTAACGATCACAATGTGTCTATGGATTGCAAATATCAAATATATATGTGGTGCACTTCACTTTAAGCTAGGGCCAACCATAGCTTTCCTATTGTGCAAAGGTCCAAATGTTCAAGAGGACGCTCATAATTTAGAGATCGATCACCACCCAGCTGATTGCATAGGTTTCAATTGTCCATAGACTTTCAAAAAAAAAAAAAAACACAAATCATATTTCTTTCAATAACCTCCTATTCAAACAGTTTATAACATAGTTTTGATCACTCAAGATTTTCAAACTTCAAATAGAAATAACAAGGATTTGCTTATATGCAGTACAAAAACAAACCTTCCAAACTGTAGTGTAGTGGCGTTTCAAATTCAATCATTTATGTTTAACAGATATCAAACTTCAAACACAAAAACAGATTTCACTTACATGCATCTACCATAGCTTTGCTATACTGCACAAGTTAGGAATGTCCAGGCTTATAGTTTCAGTGTTATGCTATTCTCTGCTTCTTCATTGGTCAATAGCATGAAAAAATTCTTTACATTTCAAAAAATTGATTTGAGGATATGCATTTGATATCAATAAATCATGAATGGATTTGATATACCCATTCAGAGTACGTTTCTAGGCTTGTAAAATATTTCATTAAATTTCCCTCTTGCCATAGGTAACTCGGTCCATCGGTGATGATTATCTCAATCCTGCTGTAACTTCTGAACCTGAGATAACGGACAGTGGGCTTTCAGTAGAAGATGAATTCCTGGTAAGTGCAGTTAAATATTTACATGAATGGTGATAAGTTATGCATGTAAGGGCCTTCTTGTTTTAGATTTGGAATTTGGATGAAGTTTTTTTTTGTCGCAACAAGAGGCCTTTATATTGTAAATTATAAGTATTTCAAACTAGTCATTCTTAACATTTCATGTATAAGCTTAGCTAATCGATTTCAATACGTATCTTCTAACTTCTTAATCTTTCTTTACATGCATGCAGGTAAGTGTGATAAACCCGATTCTACATTCTAGTTCATCATTCATTCCTTACTCTATTTTTGCATGTCACAAACCAGGTCAGATCATCTAATGGTTTCTACTTGTTTTTAGCTCTAAAATTTACCAGTTGCCTCCAAATTATATAAAAGAACTTAACAAACACCTACCTCATATGAAAGCCACCACTAGACTTGGCAGAAAATCTAGTTTCTTTGTCCTATTGCCCCCTGGTTTGAAGAGCTTCATGGTTGGGTGCATTATAGTAATCAGTGATACTCACTTGGATTATTAATTAATAAAATTGAAGTCTATTTTTTGTATAACAATGAATGAAAATATAAGTTATTTGACTTTTTTATATGTATTTTTAGATATTACCTTTTTTATAGTACATATGAATAATACTCCTTTTGTCCTAAAAATAACTATCATTTTTTTTACTCTTTCCTAAATAAAGGATTTGAGGGCAATAATTGTTTTTATCTATAATACTCTTAAAAAAGAAATAAAAGATAAATAAAAACTTTTTGTGATTGGATAATTAATTAAAGTGAATGAATAATGATAGGGTTAAAATAGAAAAAAATATTTGTCAACTTTGAAAAATAAAAAAGGACAATTGATTTAAAACAAATTTAAAATTAAAAAATGATAGTTATTTTAGGATCAAGAGAGCAATTGTTTTTTTTTTTTCTGTACTAGTAGTTCTTGATAACAACAAATTTTACTTAAAAAAAAGTATTGTCTAAAAATATGTAAAAATATATATATATATATATATTTTTTTTGAGACAACAAGAATCACTTACAGGCGTGGGTTAGAATTATGATTGATTTAGATCCGTAATAAGTAGGATCCATGCCCAACTTCGAGTATTTTTGGATCAACCAGTCATAATAATGGAAATATTAAATGCTATTACACTAATGTTATTATCTGACTATCCCATTGATATCCGAAGGCAGGCTTGTTTTGATGTTCCTTTTTGAAAGTGATAGCATAATTTTTGTTAAGATCATGCTTGTAACATTTGTAAAGCCTTCCCTAATGCTTTTTTTCTTCTTCTTCTTCTTTTCTCTTTTTTTTTTTTCTATAATGTTTTGTTGCTAAGAAAATGCAGGAATCTACTTTCTGCTATAAATTAGACCATTCTACCAGAAGACAAAAACCCTTATCCAAGTGTTCCTATGGGATTTATTATAAAGTCTCACAAAGATCGAAGGAGGAGCGTGAACAGAATAAACAAGAACATGCTAAATGTGTAATCATGGATTGTGGGGAAGATAGTTGTCATGCAACATCACAAATCGAGTTATCCAGTCAAATGGGTAATGAATATGCCTTGAAAGTTATACACATAGACAACGCTGAGCCGTTAAAAGTGAAGGTGATTTATCCCTACTTTGAGAACACTCTGTCTAAATGGCTTAAGAAATTGCATCCTCCGAATGAGACTGACGAGTATGTCAAATGGATGCGGGCTAAAGTATTTCCAAAGATTAGGTACGCTTTTTTTGAACGCAAGATTAGGTACGCTTTTATAGATATGTATACGTATCTTTTTATTTTATTTCTATTGTTTTTCTTTTTTTTTCCTTACTTATTTTGTATGTACAGGAAACTTTGGCAAATACTACTTAAAATGAAGGATAATGGGATAAATATTAATAAGCCATATTGCATGCCTTTAATTAATGGAGTGCCCAAGCTGTTATACATTCATGAAGAAGATGGCGGTAAGTTGTTTCTTTCTTTTTTTTCTCTGATTATTGCTATTAGTATTACTACTTTTAAATTTTTTTTTTAACAGAAAAGAATAAAGGAGACACACCGGATGATGGATTTAGTTCATCTAATCAAGGACAAAATGAACAAGAACCTCCTTCATTTAATCAAGAACAAAATAATGACAAAGATAAAGACAAAAACAATCTTGACTTGGATTATCTAATAGAGGTACTTAATGGGATAGTTACAAAACTGAGGTCAGATGGATCTTATGAACTGCGTAAATATATTGATGAACTACATAAATATATTGAAGAACTGCAGGTTTTCTGGAAGTCCAACCAGGACAAGTCAGAGTAAGTGAAATTTATTTATTTTTTTTTTAATTGAGATTATATGTTTCATTAGTTAAATAATTACTATTAATCTCTCTTTTTCAGACATCCCCAACATTATCATTTACTCAGTATGCATCCAATTCTCTATAATTCTGACGAAAAGTCCAAGTTTTTGCAATTGTTCTACGATGTCACATGGGAGTATGGATTAAGCAGCTGGCTGGATATGAAAATGCATTGGGGTCATTTTCAAAGCCGTATGATGTCCGCGAAAAAAAGAAGAGTTTATGAAGCAACCCTTCACCACAAATCTCGAAAAAGTCAAAATCATGCATATAATCGAGCACGAGGTGACCAAGGAACTCATTCATCTTCTCAAGGTTATGAGTTGAATGAATTCAAAAGAAGGCGTATCCATGGCAATCCACTATCAAGTCATGCACATGATCAAGAACAAAGTGACCTGGGTTCTCTTTCATCTAATCAACGACAAAGTGATCAGAAATCTCTTTCATTTAATCAAGAACAAAGTAATCAGAAAACCCCTTATTATTGTCGAGGTTCAGATGTTGTAAGGTTTACCAGGAATGTCTTGGCTCATTTCAATGACAATGATAAAAATCCCAAGGTATGATGTTTTCCATCTTAGGGAATGTGTCATTTTCTATTAGAGAGTAATTAGAAAGTCTTAACAGGGGTAAAATTGTAAAAGTAAAATTTAATGATATAGTTGAAATAAATTTCAAAAATAAATTACACCAACTTTCCAGGAAGTGTGACAATAGGAGTAAAATTGTAAAAATAAAATTTAATGATAAGGTTAAAATAAATTTCAAAAATAAATTAAACCAACTTTCCAGGACATGTGACAAGTAAATTGATGTGGATGAAGGGTTTTTTTATTATTATTTTATTTTGCATTATAACTGTGTTCCTTATTATAATTCTTTACAATGTTTTCTTTAGGGAGAAAGGCTGGCTGGTGATGAGATTGTTGAGACAGTTGATCGTGATCTTGCAGTCTGCTCTCTATATTATACATATGCAAAACAATTTATTGCAGATCAAGCAACGGAAGAATTAATGTAAATGCTCGTAAAAAATTGCTTGTTTTCCTTTTATTTTATGATATTATTTTTAAAGATGGCATCTACTTATACGTATACCAAAATCTTAACAATTTATCAATTGAAATTTATTCACTTAAAATTATATTTTTAAAAATAAATATCATTTTTAATTCATCTTAGGAGTAATAAATCTCAAAAGCGAATATTTTATTTAAGTGATGCGAATAACTTTTATTTTTAATGTTAAATTGAGTATATATATTTCTCTTGCAGTGAAGGGTACTGGAAGAATTATCAACAAGAACGATGGGATAATTTGAAGTAAATGCTAGTAAAAAATTGCGTGTATGCTTTTTTTCATGATACGTTTTCTACTCAGTCGGGTTATCTCCTTCTTGCAGGGATGAGATTTTGAAGAAAGCTAAAAAACGGTAAAGTTTGAAGTACTGTAAATACTAGTAAAAAATTGCCTGCATGCTTTTATTTTATGATAAATTTTTTCAGCTGTTAAATTGAGTCCAAACTTTTTTCTTGCAGGGGGCCGGGTCAGAAGGAAGCACAATTAATTAGTCAAGCTTATCAACTAGTGCCATTGCAACTTTACGTGAGAACTAGGTACGTGTGTCTTAATATAAAATTTATATTTAATTTAAAATTAATGAATTATAAGTAAAATAATTCTTGTTATATTTAAATCACATATTTTTAATTATATTTTCGATGTTAAATTTTCTCACACAATACTTTACGTGTAGATGTTATATAGTTGTGTATATATATTTTTACTGTTCAATTGAGTTCACACCTTTTTCTTGCAGGTGCCAACCCGGTAAATGGATGAAAGCGGAAGAAATTTTTAAACGAAGACCTCCAACGTAAAAGCTACAAAATTGCATGCATAAATCCTATTTATTTTATGATTTTTTTCTACTATTAAATTGAATACGTGCAGTGTTTGGATGTAAATGCCAGTACAAAATTGCGTCTATGCTTCTATTTTATGATGTCTTTTTTACTATTAAATTGAGTACATATCTTTTTTTCTTTTTTTTGGCAGGGACGTGGATTCGATGGAACTTTGGACGTAATGCCTCTCCATGCTTTTATTTGAGAGTTAAAATTCACTTACAAGCAAAATCTTATGTATATCTTTCTCTTGCAGAAACGGACCCGATAATTGGATGGAAGCAAAAAAAGTTTTAGCAAATGACGTTTTTCCATTGGTGAAACTTTGGACGTAAATGCTAGAAAATTGCATTTATGCTTTTATCATATGATATTTTTCCAATGTTAAATCGAATACTTATCCTTTTCTTGCAGGAAGAATACTTGGGAGGAGGATTGGAAGGAAGTGGGAGAAATTGAAGATGAACTTGATCAAAAACTAGAACTTGAAACGTAAATACCAGAAGAGTGCGTGGATGATTTTATTTTATGATATTTTTTCTAATGTTCAATTGATTACATATCCTTTAATTTCTTGCAGGGAGAAGGGTTGGATGCTTGTAGAAAAAATTAAAGATGGAGCTTTTCCAGAAAAACTTAGAGTGTAAATGTTGCAAAATTGCGTGTATGCTTCTCTTTTGTGATGTTTTTTTGAACTGTTAAATTGAATACATTTATCTTTTTCTTGCAGGTGGAGGCAGGATTGGGTTTGGAGTGAATCAAAACAAATTTTTGAAGATAATACACCTGCGACACTTCATGCGTAAATGCTACAAATTACAAGTATACTTTTATTTTATGATTTTTTTTAATGTTAATTAAATTGAGTTCGTATATCTCTTTCTTCCAGGAGGTCTTCTAGGGAGAATGGTCTTGAAGCACTTGAATATGGTCTTGAAGCATTTGAATGTGAACGACCAAGGTATTTTATAACGTAAATGCTAGTATAAAATTGCATGTATGCTCTTCTTTTATGATATTTTTTATAGAGTTTAAATTGAGAACATAATATTTTTTTCCTGCAGGAAGGTTAATTGGGAAAAAGCAAAGGAAAAATTAAAAGAGTTCCTCATATCACTAAAATGTAATCTACTTAATTTCCTCTCCTACATACTAACCACGTGTGTGTGTTTTTACACAATGTTTTGAGCATATGTGTGTTATCCTTTGAAGATTGGCCTAGGCATTTATAAGAATTGTATTCCTTCTTGTTCCCTAACTATTTTCTAATTGATATCTTGCATGTATAATTGATGCAGAGAATAAGTATCCTGTTCTGTCCTATTTGCATTGAGTCATTCGTAATTGCATATAAAATTAGGGATTAATTTGTAATAATTCTTAATTTTGGTTGCATGTCCTTTTTGGAATTAGGTTAGTGGAGTCCAAGTGTCTATTAACTTGTTAATGTCAATAACAAGTGTCTTAAGATGAAGTTTGGCTAAGTGAAAAGCATTTAAATCTCACTTAACCTTGTCTGTGGAGTATATCTGTGTCTTACAATTAAATTAGCCATTTTCTATATTTTTCCTTTTAGCTGGACCGAAGGGGAAGAAGAAAGAAGTTGCAAATATGCAGATAAGCGAACTTGGAGATTCTTGAGGAATTCTGCCAAGTCCACAATTTAAAACTAGTGTGTGGTAATTATAATTAAGTTAAACAGAACATATACATGAAATTAAGTACCGCAAATCAAAGCTATATAACATAGATACTAGTAGAAGCAAAGAAACATGACGCAAAAACAACCTGTGCTGGAGCCTGGGTTTTATTTAATAACTGTACGAACAATAAAGATTGATATCTAAGTAAGATAACTAAGATCGGGAACTATGATTAGCGATGATACTACTGCACTTTAATGATTCCAAGTTTGAGATTAACATGTTATACTTGTATCACACTTTCTGAATTATTTTGGGTGAAAATGACCTAGGTATATGTTATGCCTATTTCTAGTGAATCTACAAACTACATTAAATAATGAGCAGGTTATGCATGATTCTATGCTGAATAAGCTTTTGTTTATAATTTCCTAAGAACTATGGAGAGTTTGGAGCCTAGCCTAGTTGGTAAGTGCCATGACTAGTTTTGGCATCTAATGTGGGTGCATGCACATTCAGTGGAGTCCACAATTTGTGTTACGTTCATTTATTGTGCTATGTCTATGTGAATGTTCTATGGTTACAATATCTTAAATCTATATGATCAGAACAAGTTAGAAACTATTGTTGGAATTTTCTGCATAAAGAACTAAGCATGGAACATCTGTTTAGCTTAAAATTAAGAATTATGCTTATGCTCATGGTCTTTCTTCCACCATTTCAGAGAGTACTAGTGAAGAGTAGCTGCTGATCCTAAGTTCTTTTGGTGGATTTCTGGTACAAACTATGAGCTATGCATCTAAGTAGTTAGTAAGGCATATTTGTATCTGCCCAAAACTTTACTTGGGTATGTGAATTTTTAATTTATTTTGTACTAAGCTTTGAGCCTGGGATATATATATGTAAAATTTCTATTATGCTCATAAATAGTTCTCTTTATTTTTGCACTGCATAGGAACACTTTCACAAATTTATTGTTTCTCAAATCCTTTTTTTTTCTATCTGTGCACTCTAGTTTCTTTCAAGTAACTACACAAATTCTATACCACCTAATGCATCAAGCTTCCTTTCCTACGCTAGCATTTTGACTTTAACCTTAAAACAACAAAAACTTCAAATCTACCTATGAATAGAGAACATTTGAATAGATATAATGAACAAGACGTTCCTTTTCTTGATAAACCATTGTTTATCAAAAGATGGATGTTGCAATATGGTTGGACTTGGATGTGGACGTGGATTGTCTATGCAAAATGTTAGCATTCCAGTGCTCCCCTAGTGCTCCCCTAGTGCTCCGTGTGACATTGATGTGTATGCTGTTATTAAGGTTATTGTCAATGCTGACACTGATGGATTGTTGATGTAGTTATTATTCGCCAAAGTTGTATGCATGACTTGGAA